ACACACACACACACACATTATTTATTTATTTATTTATTTATTTATTAGTATATTTTGGTAGCAGTCTTTCCTGTAGACATGTATTATTAAATATGACCGAAAAAGTAAGATTAATAATTCTAACACGAATTTTCTCAATCTTTCGTACATTTCTTTTCACTGTTGGAGGTAAATCAAAAATCAATTCTCCAAAATTCATTTTTATTTCTAGTCTGACGCGACACGAGCGCGTTTCGTAAAACTTATTACATTTCAAAGACTTTAGTTCACAAATACACAACTGAATAGAACTTACGCATCTCCGATTTTATATCTACATTTGAGTGAGGTGGAAGGGGTGATGTGGCATTAACACAAGACAGAACAAAATGTGGCATTAATAGGGTATTAATTTCATCAACACAAGACAGAACAAGAAGTGGTATTAATAGGGTATTAATTTCATCAACACAAGACAGAACACGAAACAATGGATATTGAATAGAAGTGTTTGTAGAAAGCCTATTGGTCCATATTTCTTGATGCTTCTATATTGGAGCGGAGTCCTTACTTTCTTATTTACAGTATAGATATATTACTTTAAATCAGGGATGTAAAACCAATATTCATTTATAAACACTTAAAACACAAAAATGACCACACGGGACCGGTACCATATTTTTGCTTTGATGGGACTCAAGACACAATCAAGGGGCTTGCATTACATTTATTTAAACACAGGAAAAAGGATAATACACTAAAAAAAAAAATCTCACCAGATTAACAATTACAGTTCCTGTTACTCAGATATAAATGGAGGGTCAGTACTTCACAGTGAGGTGGGCACCTTATGAGCACACACCACTACCTCTGTGTGTGGAGTTTCGGCCCTCTCTCCTCATGTTAAGAACAAAAGCTAGACTTTATATACCAGTCAAGGTCAGGTGGGAGCACCAGCATCATTCAATACTGAGGCCTTCACATGTGGGAATGGTACCCGGGTGTGATTTTATTTGTTAAATGGCGTCTGTGTACCTGAGCCCTCAGGAAGTTGATACGAACCCCTTGTAACCGTGGGACTTTTAAATCTGATGTGGTACTGTAGTAGTAGGCATCCTTCAGTCTCTGCAGATTATGGAGTTGCGCTCTGGTTGCTTTACAGGGTGCAAAGCCTGGGTAGGTCGATATTGAGGAAAAGCTGTTACCTATGCAGCAGGTCCTCCCCTCTCCACGTTGCTGAAATTATCCAATGGAAAGGCAAATGCTAATACACATGGTTCCAGCACCATCGTAGGAGCTGCCAGAGCGAGGTCGAAATCGACAATGAACTGCCTTAGGGGCTCCAACTCTGGATTTTTCCTCGAGGTTGACTCCTGAAGCCTTTCCTAAAAAAGGGGTATGGCCGCAAAGCAGCAGAGGTTTGGAATCACGGTTTTCCCTTCCCCTGGATGAGCTGCATTTCCAGGCTCACGAGTCCCATCTACCCGGAAAACTGTGGTACTTTACTTTAAAAATATATATATACGATGTGAGCCATGCAGATAGTGAGACCAAAATCATATACAGTGTAAACTCGGTTTACAAATGCCCCACTGTACAAATTTTTCTGTTTGCGAGCTCAATTTCTTTGAAAAATGTGACCATGCTTACAAGCTTTGCCTCGCTTGGTGAGTTTGTTGATACATGTATGGGTCGACCTGGCACGTGGTTCTTGGTGGTACGGGCGAGGCACGCTACAGTTTACCAGTGCCTCCCGCCTAGTGGTAATCGCGCTTGAATTCTTTTAAGAATTTTATTGTTTTTCTGCTTTCTTGTTTTCTAAACATAAAAGTAATTAATATATATCATGCCATGGATCCCAAGAAAGTCAGTAGTAAGGTTCAACCTGAGAAAACACATGTGAGGATGACGATAGAGGAAAAACAATAGATCATTCATAAACATGAAAATGGTATGATGGTGGTTGTTCTAGCTAAGCTGGATGGTGCTGATGTTGGAGGAGTTGGTAAAGAACACACAGAAGAACTGACCACCGACGAACTCCTAGCCCTTCACAAGAAGGATGTCGCTTCTTCATTAACCCTTAAAGGGCGCAATACATTTATAGCTGGGTTATCTTGAGATGATTTCGGGGCTTTAGTGTCCCCGCGGCCCGGTCCTCGACCAGGCCTCCACCCCCAGGAAGCAGTCTGTGACAGCTGACTAACACCCAGGTACCTATTTTACTGCTAGGTAACAGGGGCATAGGGTGAAAGAAACTGCCCATTGTTTCTCGCCGGCGCCCGGGATCGTACCCAGGGCCACAGGATCACAAGTCCAGTGTGCTGTCCGCTCGGCCGACTGGCTCCCCTGGGGTGAATAACTTTTGCGGGACGACGCACCACAGCTATGTATGGTTGGGAGTACCGCGCAAGATTGAAAGGTCCCACTGCTACATAGGGATCTTGTAAACAGTCGCCATTTAAAAAAAAAAATTGTGGGCATGTTCACAGCACTAGCCACAGCACACTGCCATTGTTTGGTCCATCTAAGAATCTTGAAATGACTTCTGTTCCTTTACAAAATAAAATTGTGAAAGATTATTCATTTACAGGATTTAGTGACCAGGATTCTGATAATAGCACCATTGTGGTGAGAATTAGCAATATGCATAGTATGGTGGGAGGAGGAATCCTGGCGAGAAAGGGAAGTGGCATCATCAGCTGACTGGTCTTTGGCGGTCATTGTTATTGTCTGGACTCACCGTACCAGCTTAGTGGTTTGTTATGGTGAACACAAATGTAGATACTTGTATATAATGTGTGTGTATATAGTGTAATAACAGCAAAAGGAATATGTTGGGAAGAGCCATTGTGGTGAGGGAGGTGATGTCGTCTGGTGCCTGGTGTGTGACTTATCATGCTGTGTAGGGTGGCCACTATGCTGTTTGGACACCATTCAAGCTTAGTTGAATATTTATGGTGAACAAAACATGTAGATACTTTTATATAATGTGTGTATATAGTGTAATACCACCACAAACAATATGGTTGGAGGAGGAATATTGGCGAGTGATCTGCTGGCTGGTGTGTTGGTAGCCACTATGCTGTTTAGATGCACCATACCAGCTTAGTGGTTCATTATGATGAACAAAACATGCAGGTACTTGTATATAACGTGTGTATATAGTGTAATAACAGCAAAAATATTTGTTTGTTGTTTTATGAACATAATTGAATCACTAATTGCACACCATACTTTAGAGTATAGCAATGGTTCACACATTTTATTATATAAATGTCACACTACACACTATTGAATAATATTACTGCAAAAAAAAAAAAAAAAACAGAAAAATCAAAGACATTGAAATAATTAGGTAAAAATATCTGTGGCAACTCCTGCCTAACGGCTCGGGCGGAGCAGACGCCCCGGGCGCCTACTATGTCAGCGCCCGAGTGTTGCCAGACATCCTCGCCCTATTGCATCCAAATTATCACCTACGATCCCCCTCTTCCCCAAGGTGAACAGGGATTACATTTTAACAATCGAAGTAGTATTTTGGGTGTTTTTGTACTTAATGGCTTGGGCAGGTAGGCAGTTCCATGGGTTTATTACCATGTGGATGAAACAGTATTTCCTATGTTCAGTCCTACATTGTGGCTTGTTGACCTTGAAAGTCATTCCTTGTTTGTTACATCTGACCTTTTTTGTATTGTCTGTTGGTGTTGCCTGCTGAGAGTGGGGGGTTAGCTGTCAGGGGGCCTGACAACCGAGTGGACAGCGATTCGGATTCGTAGTCCTGAGGTTCCGGGTTCTATTCCCGGTGGAGGCAGAAACAAATGGGCAGTTTTTTTCACCCTGATGCCCCTGTTACCTAGCAGTAAATACGTGCTTGGGAGTTAGGCAGCTGCTACGGTCTGCCTCCTAGGGATGTGTAACAAAAAGAATGCCTGGTCAAGGACCGGGCCGCGGGAATGCTAAGCCCTGAAATCATCTCAAGAGCATGCTATGCATGGATTTCATTTTCATTTCATACCACACCCACTAGACCTGCTTAGGGGTTCATTATGGTGTATACAAAAGTAAATACAGTAGTTATATATAATGTGTGCATAAAGTGTTACAACAGCAAAAACTGTGTTTCATTGTTCAAAGAATATAATATTCTGAGCATATTAGTGACTCAAATATATCGGTAGTTGCCTATGTTCATCATGTTCTGTGATACGAATAACATTATTTACAATCGAATGCTTCATTGCACCTGAAGGAGCAATGGTAAAAACATTAGAAATATGTACAAAGAACATTTAAAATGCATGTTACAATTTCTTACAAAACATTCCTGGCTGACCTCTTAAAAACTGGTTGCTAGATTATTTACACTCACCAGAACTACTTACTGGCTCATAATAGGGTATGAAAATGTAAATAATTATATGTAAAGTCTCTATATAGTGGAATAATGGAAAAAAAAACCTGTTCTATTGTTTAAAAATATAATATGGTAGTCATATTAGTGAGGTATATTTGAGCATAGCAGTGTTCCACACATTTTATTACGTAACTTTCTCAAATGACACAAATATTACTGTACAAAAAAAGAAGAAAAATAGACAGACATTTAAGTAAATTATGTTAAAATGTCTTTGTGGCAACTTCTGCACTATTCTTGGCCTTGGGTGACGATTCAATGATCTTTCGTGAATCGCGAGACTTGCTTGCTCCATCACGGCCAGAGTATGTCGCATATTTTTTTTTTGTTTCCTGTAATCAGGGAACGCACCACAACAATGTTAGCAGGAAAAATTTTGGGGGGGAATTTATTTTTTATTGGTAGAGTAGGGGGGGGGGTGTTGGCCATAAACAGGTGCACAGGAGTTAATGGAATATATTTTGGAGTACATTTTTTCCCCAGATTCTTAGTTATAATTTTTAAGAATATTAGTTTAATAATTTTAACGTGTTAACCCCCGAATATTAGAAAAGTTTTCAAATTTGTTATGGTTCTTATTGTAGATTATTCTCTCCTCATCCAGGCTGTGTACACTGCTGGTGTCTTGTTGCCGAAACCTGTGGCATCTTGTCGCTACTGGCACCGCTCACTCAATCCAAAGAAGCTAATAGAAGTTAAATTTTCTCATTTGGGAAAGAATATGACTATGCAGCGCACACTCAAACTGTATCGGCTGCCATCAGAAACAGTAACGTCAGGTTTCAGAAGATTAAAGATTGAAGACGTTGACGATTGCCATAAGTTGTTAGAAGGATACTTGAACAAATTTGATTTAGCACCTGTATTTAGTAAAGAAGAATTCATTCATTGGTTTCTTCCCCAAGACAAGATCATAGACAGTTATGTAGTTGAAAACTTTGGCAAAGTTACTGGTGAGTTTTCAAGTGAAATACTGTATTATCTTCTGATTTTTATATATTAATAATAATTAGGCATTCTTTGCAGAGTTTACTATATGATTTTGTTTATAATTTTCTTTTGTTTCCATGTTGTATGATTGTCAGTGGAAGGTTTCCATTAATATTAGGCAGTGGCTATTTTTAGAACCAGATGAAATATTTGTTGGTGTGGCTGTTTGTAAGATTTTGCAACATAGAATGAACATAACTGGATCACATTTACGTGACACATGTCCCCAATATCCTGGGGATATTGTAGTCTAGGTTGTGAAAATTTCAATATATTTACCAGATTTCCAACTGCGTATTGCTTTGATGCTTAAAGCAGTAAGTTTAGCAGTGTTTTCTCTTTAGATGCACTGAATTTAGTTAGAATGGATAAAAAGTTTCTTAAATGCTGAAAGAGGAGAGCAGTAATTAGAGGATATGAATTAGAATAGAGGGGTGTGGCTGGGTTCCACAGGGCTTTGTTTTATCACCTATGATGTTGATTGTACAGACTGCCCACAGTCAATAATTTGGATCCCAAATTATAGGGTAGGCCCACTCCCATCCAAGTTAGCTGGTCATCTTAATTACCTGAATTTCTTACCAGGAATGTCACAAAATGAATGGGTATTTTCACCAAGTTTTCTCATAGCATATCTTTAGTGGGTAGCGTAACTTGCTTTTTCTTAACATGTCCACATTGATTACTGCTGCTGCTACTAGACATTGTCTTAGCCAAAAATGATCTAAGTTTCTGTTAAAACAAAAAAAATTAAGAAAGAAAATCATTCAGTAACGGAGTGACACGAGGTAGTAGAATCGTGAGGAAAGAACACTTGTGGCTTGACAGGGCTGGGCTGGTTCACCCCAGGCTCTGTATGTAGGCTGCCCTCAAAAAAATGTCCCATATTGTATTGGCAACATACATTTTACAGTACAGCCTGTAAACAGTTTTTGGGTGAGGGCAGGCTGACAGTAAAGAGCGGGCAGGTGGCTGGCTGAAAGTGGGAGGACAGTTGCCTGAGAGTTTCTGGCAATGTAATGCTTAGAGACTAATCAAAAATTTTATCATTGCACATTGCCCTAAAATATAAGATACCAGAAGTTCAAAAATAGGACTTCCATAGACTAGCTCACTGGGCTGCCTGTCAACCACACTAGGGCCTTCTCTATTCTCCCGCATCCACATACCTGGGCACTCCATTGCCTCTCATCCATATATTCAGTCCCCCTTCCCCTGCCTCACATCTCAATATCTGGGCCCTCTCCATTCTACCCCTGCCAACTATCCCCATACCCAGTCCCTCCCCACTCACCCCTTTTTTCCTATCCTCCGATACCTCTCTGACACAAGTTGTTTGTCAATGTCAAAACAAGTAACTGTTTACGTGTAAATTTATTTTGGTGTATTAGAACATTGGATGTAACGAGTGTGTGTGTTTACTATCAAATTGTTATGATTGTAACCAAATTTTCAATTAGTTAAACCGTCAAGCACTTGAACTCGAATTCATATGTAGGTTTAAAAGTAAAAACGTCAACAAGATTTCATTCGGATTACTCCAAATCTGGGGTTATTGGAATCCGAATTACTGAGCCCTTACAATACAGTACAGTGGCACCTCGACTTACGATAATTTTGAGTTACAATGTAAATTTGATCGAAAAATGCGACTCGACTTACGGTAGTGTCGTCGACTAACAATATTTGTTGGGACACGTTTGGGTCGACCGAGCGCGTGGTTCCTGGTCACGTGAGCCGACCTGCCTCAGTTTACTAGTGCTGCCCACATAGTGATGATCACACGTATAAGAAAAAAAATTTTGTGGTGATTTTTTGCTTTTTGAACATAAAACTGATTATTATATATCACACCATGGGTCCCAAGAAAGTCAGTGGTAAGGTTCAACATATGAAAATCCATGTAAGGATGACCAATAGAGTCTTCTCTTCAAGTCACTCGTGTTGTCCCGTCTTGAGTACTGCTCAGTACTCACTTTCCCCTTCAAAGCAGGAGAGACTACTGAAATAGAGGGAATACAGAGAGCATATACGGCACGCATAGACACGATAAAGCACCTAAATTATTGGGATCGTCTCAAAGCCCTCCAAATGTACTCACTAGAAAGAAGACGAGAGAGATATAAAATTATATATACGTGGAAGATACCGGAGGGCCAAGTACCAAATCTATACAGTAAAATAACAACGTACTGGAGTGAACGATATGGAAGAAAATGCAGAATAGAACCAGTGAAGAGCAGGGGTGCCATAGGCGCAATCAGAGAACACTGTATAAACATCAGAGGTCCAACACCCTCCCAGCGAGCATAAGAAATATTGCTGGAACAACCGTGGACATCTTCAAGAGGAAACTAGATTGTTTCCTCCAAGGAGTGCCGGACCAACCGGGCTGTGGTGGATATGTGGGCCTGTGGGCCGCTCCAAGCAACAGCCTGGTGGACCAAACTCTCACAAGTCAAGCCTGGCCTTGGGCCGGGCTTGAGGAGTAGAAGAACTCCCAGAATCCCATCAGCCAGGTATCAACCAGAGCAAAAACAAGAGATCATTCGTAAATATGAAGATGGAATGCGGGTTGTTGAACTAGCTAGGCAGTACAACAAATATCAGTCAACGATATCCACTATACTTGCTAAGAAAAAGGACATTATGAGTGCTAAAGTGGCAAAAGGCATGTCAATAATCATGAAACATAGAACACAAACACTTGAGGATGTCAAAGTTATTAATTTGGATACACAGCAAGGAGTTAGCGGGTAATAGAGTTTCAGAGGCCATCATTTGTGAAAAAGCAAGGAAATTGCATGGAAGACCTTTTAAAGAAAACCCCTGGAATGAGTGATGCAAATGCGAAAGAGTTTAAGGCGAGCAGGGGTTGATTTAAGAAATTTAGAAAAAAGAAGTGGCATTCATAGTGTTCTGAGTGTTGTGTGTCACAAGCTGGTGGAGGAACACAGCGAAGAACTGACCACTGAAGAACTTCACAAGGAGCAGCAACAAGACAGCTGAGGAAATTTCTTCAGGGGGGGGGGGAGGAGAAGACAGTACAGAATGTCCCTTATTAATTAAGAAAATATGTGCAGCATGGGAAGAATTGCAAACTTATGCTGAAATGACTCGCCCAAATCACGGTGCAGTAGGCCAATGCCTTAACCTTTTTAATGACACTGTGATGCCTCACTACAGACAAAAATTAAAACGTATGGAAAAAACAATAATACTATGGAAAGGTTTTTAGTAAGACAAACAAGCAGTGAATCACAACCAGGTCCTAGTGATATGCAGGCAAAATGTAGGAGTGTGTGTACCCCAGAGAAGTCATCACTGCCTGATGTTATAATGGAAGGGGACTCCCCTTCCAAACAGTAACACCTCTCCTCCTTTTCCTTCCTCGCCATCTTCAATACGCATCAAGATTCCTCCATAAAGGTAAGATAAACGTATGTACTGTATTGTAGTTAGAGAACAAAATTGTATAATAAAATCCTCATCACGGCCCTTGTGAATTTGTTCATTTGATGCATCACACTATTGTGATTTCTGTGTGTAATGAAGTAAGGGCGAATAGGTAGAACGGCCTATTGACATAGCTTGAGTGTATGGGGGAGTTGTGTAAAACCCTGGTTTGTGCCTCGGAGAGGCTGCAGGATCCAGTAAGTTCAATAGAACTTCGGTTTCAACTCTTTTGACCATGTCGTAGCTCAGTCGATTAAGGCAGCGTCTGGGATGCTCCCGGACGTAGGTTCGAATCGTCGTCACTGCCATTGTGGATTTGTTCATTTGATGCATCACGCTATTGTGATTTCTGTGTGTATTGATTGGAAGATATTTCAGGTAAGTCTGTTATGTGTTGGCATATTGGATTTGTTGTGATCAGTAATGGTGGTTGTGGTGTGTCAGTGTTGCAATTTGATCCAAACATCCCCAATCCCAACTGTTCACACCTAACCCAAACCTCCCCCAACTGATGCACCCACTCCTTCCCACTTGCATACTCACATCCTCCCACCCAAACCTTCCCCATCTGATGCACCCACTCCTTCCCACTTGCATACTCACATCCTCCCACCCAAACCTTCCCCATCTGATGCACCCACTCCTTCCCACTTGCATACTCACATCCTCCCACCCAAACCTTCCCCATCTGATGCACCCACTCCTTCCCACTTGCATACTCACATCCTCCCACCCAAACCTTCCCCATCTGATGCACCCACTCCTTCCCACTTGCATACTCACATCCTCCCACCCAAACCTTCCCCATCTGATGCACCCACTCCTTCCCACTTGCATACTCACATCCTCCCACCCAAACCTCCCCCAACTGATGCACCCACTCCTTCCCACTTGCACTCACATCCTCCCACCCAAACCTTCCCCAACTGATGCACCCACTCCTTCCCACTTGCACTCACATCCTCCCACCCAAACCTTCCCCAACTGATGCACCCACTCCTTCCCACTTGCACTCACATCCTCCCACCCAAACCTCCCCCAACTGATGCACCCACTCCTTCCCACTTGCACTCACATCCTCCCACCCAAACCTCCCCCAACTGATGCACCCACTCCTTCCCACTTGCACTCACATCCTCCCACCCAAACCTTCCCCAACTGATGCACCCACTCCTTCCCACTTGCACTCACATCCTCCCACCCAAACCTCCCCCAACTGATGCACCCACTCCTTCCCACTTGCACTCACATCCTCCCACCCAAACCTTCCCCAACTGATGCACCCACTCCTTCCCACTTGCATACTCACATCCACCCACCCAAACCTTCCCCAACTGATGCACCCACTCCTTCCCACTTGCATACTCACATCCTCCCACCCAAACCTTCCCCAACTGATGCACCCACTCCTTCCCACTTGCACTCACATCCTCCCACCCAAACCTTCCCCAACTGATGCACCCACTCCTTCCCACTTGCATACTCACATCCACCCACCCACATTCCATTTGTATATCCATATTTAAAATATAGGTTCTCTTAAGTTTGCAGAGGTGCCAAGAATGACTTTTAAGCATATTCATAATATTGCATGCTCAGTAACCCTTGGTGTGTCAAATGTCCCATGAAATTGGTGGGATGTATAACGTAAATACTGTACTGAAATTAATGGAATATGAAAAAAATCAGAAGGCCCACAGGTTTCCCACAGTTAATTTTATTTTTGCTTCATAAGAGGAAAAAATGTATTTAGTATCATAACTTATAAAAGATACATAAAGATACATAACTTACAAAAGATACATAAAAGTATCATCAGTATTATGATGGTCTCCTGTCATGTCTGTGTTACAAATATGGTGTGTAAAGTACTCTTCCTTCTTCTTGTACTCTTCCCTGTGATACAAGAGTATATTGTGTAATCTCAAAAGATTATTAACACGAAAACATAAATGTATGTAAAACAAAGTGCTTAAACACACAACCTGGTGCCAACGTGTGCATGCTGAACATGGCTCATGTTTAGTGACTTGTTATATGAAATACATACTGTAGTGAATAGTGCATATAAAAAATGCCAAAGCTGTAATGTGTGAGGAACCACAGTATTGAGTTAGTCAGCTCTCTATGCTTGGCATTGATCAGCTAGAATTAAAACATAACTAGTATAGAATATATTCTTGTAAATTTTAGATTTATTGAATAACTTTTGTCCTAATGAAATATCAGATAATTTTATTTTTATAATTTTCCAGATTTTGTGAGCTACTATACATTGCCGTCAACAGTTATGCATCATCCAACATACAAGTCCTTGAAAGCTGCCTACTCTTTTTACAATGTTTCTTCAGCCACTCCCTGGAAAGTTTTGATGAAGGATGCACTAGTCACTGCCAAGAATGTAAGAATTACAGTATTGAAGAATGAATAATAATATTTGTGTAGGTTAATGAATGGTGTGAAAATACCTTGGAGATAATATTTTAGGAATGTAGTTTGAATGTTTTTCCCCACCATTGTGAGTCTGTTTAGTGTATCAGTCGTGCTGTCATCTTTGGTGTAGTAGACGGTTGTCAACACATCTTGGAGTCGAGTTCTTTTGTTTACAGGTGGACCTCTTTTTGCTTTAGCATGGAACCTAAAGCTCAGTTTGTCAGCTGGTTCTGTGGCTGGTGTGCCACAGTAGCACATACTGTGGCTACTGTTTTCCTGCACTGGAGTTGGTGGGATTTCTGTATCTTTACTTGATGGTTTGTCATTTCCCCAGTCATTCTAGATTGGAACTTATCTGACATATTGATGAGTTATCCTAACTTGGTGGGGTGTTGTGTGTTACATTTGAGGCAGGGTGTGTAATTACTTAAGTGTAGTTTCAGGATGAGAGCTACGCTCGTGGTGTTCCAACTTCCCAGTACTCTGTCATATAAGGCTTTGAAACTATCGACAGGTTTGGGCCTCCACCACCTTCTCACTTGGCTTGTTCCACTGTCTACCACTGTTTGCAAGAGAAGACTTCCTAAATTTTCTTTAGCACCTTTGTTTCCTTAGCTTGAATCTGTCTTTTTGTTCTTGAAGCTGCTGGTTTCAGGAATTCCTCTTTGTCAGTTTAGTTGATTCCTGTTATTATTTTGTAAGTGGTGATTACATCACCTCTCTTTCTTTTGTCTTCTAGCCTCTCCTCATAACTCTTGTTTTTCAGTTCCAACAAGCCATTTTGTAGCATGCCTTTGCACCTTTTCCAGATTATTTATGTGCTTCTTGAGATTACCTGGTTGATACCTGGTTGATGGGGTTCTGGGAGTTCTTCTACTCCCCAAGCCCGGCCCGAGGCCAGGCTCGACTTGTGAGAGTTTGGTCCACCAGGCTGTTGCTTGGAGCGGCCCGCAGGGCCACGTACCCACCACAGTCCGGCTGATCTGGAACTTCTCTTAGAAAACTGTCCACGGTTGTTCTGGCAATATTTCTTATAGTTGCTGGGAAGACGTTGAACAACCGCGGACCTCTGATGTTTATACAGTGTTCTCTGATTGTGCCTATGGCACCTCTGCTCTTCACTGGTTCAATCTTGCATTTTCTTCCATATCGTTCACTCCAGTACGTTGTTATTTTACTGTGTAGATTTGGGACCTGACCCTCCAGTATTTTCCATGTGTATATTATTTGGTATCTTCCTTGTCTCCTTTCTAGAGAGTACATTTGGAGAGCTTTGAGACGATCCCAATAATTTAGGTATTTTATCTCGTCTATGCGTGCCGTATATGTTCTCTGTATTCCCTCTATTTCAGCAATCTCTCCTGCTCTGAAGGGGGAAGTGAGTACTGAGCAGTACTCGAGACGGGACAACACAAGTGACTTGAAGAGTACAACCATTGTGATGGGATCACTGGATTTGAAAGTTCTCGTAATCTATCCGATCATTTTTCTGGCTGACGCAATATTTGCTTGGTTATGCTCCCTAAATGTTAGATCGTCGGACATCATTATTCCCAAATCCTTGACATGCTGTTTTTCTACTATGGGAAGATTCGATTGTGTTTTGTACCCTGTATTATGTTTCGGATCCTCATTTTTCCCGTACCTGAGTACCTGAAATTTATCACTGTTAAACATCATGTTATTTTCTGCTGCCCAATCGAAAACTTTGTTGACATCTGCTTGTAGTTTTTCAATGTCTTCAGCAGAGGTAATTTTCATGCTGATTTTTGTGTCATCTGCAAAGGACGACACGAAGCTGTGACTTGTATTTTTGTCTATACCAGATATGAGAATAAGGAACAGTAGCGGTGCAAGGACTGTACCTTGAGGTACAGAGCTTTTAACATCGCTTGGACTCGATTTTATCTGATTGACTGTTACTCTTTGTGTTCTGTTCGACAGGAAATTGAGTATCCAGCGTCCTACTTTTCCAGTTATTCTCATTGACCTCATTTTGTGAGCTATCACCCCATAGTCACATTTGTCGAACGCCTTTGCAAAGTCTGTGTATACAACATCTGCATTTTGCTTTTCTTCTAGGGCTTTTGTGATTGTCATAGTGGTTGAGTAACTGTGACAGACAGGATCTTCCCGCTCTAAATCCATGTTGTCCTGAATTGTGCAATTCATTGTTTTCCATAAAACTAGAAATTTGATTCCTAATCACTCTTTCAAACACTTTTATTATGTGTGATGTTAGTGCAACTGGCCTATAATTTTTTGCCAAGGCTTTACTTCCCCCCTCCCTTGTGCAACAGAGCTATATCTGCAGATTTAAGTGCTGCTGGTATCTCCCCTGTATCCAGGCTCTTTCTCCATATTACGCTGAGTGCTCTCGCTACTGGTACTTTACATTTCTTTATGAATATTGAATTCCATGAGTCAGGCCCAGGAGCTGAGTGCATAGGCATATTGTCAATTTCTCTTTCAAAGCCTTCCGAGTTTGTGGTAATATCCGTTATATTATCTGCAGCTTGAATGTCATTCATAAAGAAGCTGTCTGGGTCATCAACTTTCATGTTGTTTATTGGTGTGGCTTAACGGTCCAATACTGGTCGAGGTTTTGGATTTTGATTTTGCGTATGTGAAAAAATATTTCGGATTTTTCCTTATCTCTTGTATAGCTCTCTGTTCCAATTCCATTTCCTCACTCATATGATCGCTTCAACGTTTGTTCTATTTCTTCGATCTCCCTGCTTAGGCTTGTTTTCCTTGCTTGTGATAGTTGTGTCTGCCGAAGCATTTCCGTTATTTTTTTCCTTCTCCTGTACAGTCGTCTGCGTTCTCTTTCTAGAGTGGTCCTCTTTCTGCCCCTCCTCACAGGCACCTGCTTCAAACAGACCTTGTATGCTTCAGCTGTCAGTTGAGCTATTCCCTGTAATTACCTAAGTGTAATTACCTACTGTGTGGGAGTTTTGTCGCTTAAGACCGTCTCCCATTGAATGGTTGCAAGGTCTACATTTATTTTTTCCCAGTCAATCCTCTTATTGTTGAAATTGAATTGATTGAATATTCCTTCTCGCTTGTTGGGTCTTTTTTTTTTTTTTTTAGATTAGGGCACCATATAACTGCTGCACATTCCAATTATAGTTTAACAAAACTCATGAACAGTTTCTTTAGTATTTCATCATCCATGTAATTAAAAGCAAATCTGAAGTTGGAAAGTGATGCATATGCTCTTCTCACAATGTTCTTTGTGTGTTCTTCTGGCAACAGCTTACTATCCAAAACCACCCCTAAGTCTCATTCTTTTTTAGAGTTCTGCAATTCCTTTCCACATAATTTATAAGTTGTTTGTGGTTTATTTTCTCCGATTCCACATTCCTTAACATGGCATTTATTCACATTGAATTCCATTTGACAATTGACGTTCCAAGCACATATTTTATCTAGATCGATTTGAAGGGCATTACAATCGTCTGTCTCTCCTATCTTCCCTAGTATACTTAACATCATCTGCAAACATGTTCATCTAATTCTGTGTTCCTTCTAGTAGATAGTTTGGGTAGACGATGAACATTACTGGTGCAAGAAATGAACCCTGTGTTACTCTGCTAGTAACACTCCTCCAGTCAGATATATTGCCTCCGATTATTGCCCCTCATCTGTGTCAGAATTTTTTCATCCATGTCAGACGTCTCCCTGTCACCCCTTCAGCATGTTCCAGTTTCCAGAACAGCCTCTTGTGTAGGACTCTTTCAAAAGCCATTTTTAGGTTCAGATAGACATAGTCAACCCAACCACCACCTTCCTGTAGTATCTACGCATGTGTGTATTTACTATTTGTATTTACTATTTTTATCTACTGAATCGAGTTATTAGCTCTTGGACCCCGCCTTTCTAACCAATTTATTTTTCCTCATTATGTCTACTACATATATTTAATGGTGTCCCTGACGAACAGGGGCACCAGGGTGATCGCTTCCAACCCGCTAGGACAAGTCGTGCTAGGCCTCGGACCTCCTTTTGTTTTAGTAAGCCTCTGGTGCCAGTTTCCGAGTCGGTGGAGTCGCTGATGTGGGCTTCGTCTGGCTCTTCGGCTCAGTGTTCGCTCTGTTCAATGCTCGGTGTTTTGGGGTTTGCGTCGGCTCTTTCATGGGTAGTCCTGTTAACAGGGCGATAGAGGGTGGAGGCTGGCTCCTTTTGCCCGTGCCTGGTCCTGCAGTTCGTGGGCTTTTCAAGTCATTTCTTGCGGCCTTAAGTGGCGTTGGGAGGTCCTTTCTTCAGAGGGTTGAGTCTGTGTGGGGGGCAGGCCTCTTCCCCATCCATCTGTCGGGTCATCTTAGAGTAGGTTTGCTTGGGCATGGTTGAAACCGCCTTGTGTCTCAGGTGGGTCTCCTGTCTGTTTGCAGTTCTGAAATGGGACTGTGCAGAGCTACAGTACATTCTGGACTTGTCTTATCTGAACGGGTTAATTACCTGCCCCCCACATTTCGGATGACCACGTTGTCCCAAGTTTGGCTCGTTCTCGATCCGGGTGCTTGGATGAATTTAACAGTTGGATGTTGATTTAACAGTTGATTAAAACTTGGATGAATTTAACAGTGTCCGTGGTGTAGTGGTAAGACACGCACCTGGCGTTCCGCGAGTGCTATGTCATGGGTTCGTATCCTGGCCGGGGAGGATTTACTGGGCGCAATTCCTTAACTGTAGCCTCTGTTTAACGCAACAGTAAAATGTGTACTTGGATGAAAAAAAGATTCTTCGCGGCAAGGGATCGTATTCCAGGGACCTGCCTAAAACGCTACGCGTACTAGTGGCTGTACAAGAATGTAACAACTCTTGTGTATATCTCAAAAAAAAAAAAAAAAAAAAAAAAAAAAAAAATCCCTGGACCTCAGGGACACATATCGGAACATTCCTAGCCATCTGGGGGTTCAGGTTAGGTTTTGTGGTACACCAACAGGCTTACTACAAAAAAGGCTTTTTTGTGGTAAGCCTTCCGTCCCTGCGGAAGGCTTACCACAGGGACTCGCCTTCCTGGTGAGTCCCTGTTCTCCTTCTCTGTTGGTAGTAAGCTTCAGGGAGCCAACAGGGCTCCCCACAGAAAACTATCATTGAATATAATGAAATGCCAGTTCTGGATGAGGTTTCCTGACACGCTCCCTCACTTTGGGTGGCGGCTTTCATCATTCAAGAACTGAATTGAAGGGTTGCTGGCTCCTTCTTCCCCTGCGAGGATAGGATGGGGGGGGGGGGGGTGAGGGGGTAGAGCTGTGGGACTAGTTGGATGAAGTGTTGCTTGTTTGTTTTCTTTCTTGAGTTGTTCTTTCGCTATTTTTATGACATGGCTTACAATTTTCAACCGGACAGTGGTCTGTTTTGATTTGCCTAACTTTCTGGGGCCTGTCCTGGTCAATAGCAAGTATGACATACTTTAAATGTAAAGTGCTCAAAGGCCATTGCTTCCTGCATCTCCGAGGAGGGCCAGGTTCGGGCTCTGGTTCCTGGTAGGCAAACAAGAACTCTGCGACTTATATCCCCAACTAATATAGCGCTATATCAGTATAGATAGCTTCAGGGAGCCTCCAGGGCTCACCCAGATACTGGCATTTTATTACATTCCACTGCTGGTTTTTTAGGCAAGTATTGTTTACTTTAAGCCTAATACATACTCTAAATCCTAATGCACCTGCTGTAACAAATGGAGTGCCCATATAATATATCGAGTAGAAGATTCATATTTTCAAAATATTTGGATAACCCAATCTAGATAATCTGGACATTGGTAGATACTTTATTAGATAGAAATTACATCTTTAAAAGTAGAAGTGATGATTTCAGTTTCTAGTTTCCTGTATGAATTTTTTTTCTTTTAAGTACAGGGTATTTAGGAAAATATTTAATTGCGCCTGAAATGATGCAGATAAAGTTTGTCTGTCTTAAAATTGAAATGTCTTACCTTTTCAGTCTGACTATGATGTATTCAACGCATTAGACTTGATGGAGAATTCCGAGTTCCTTGAAGACCTGAAGTTTGGTCAAGGTGATGGCAATCTACAGTATTACCTTTACAATTGGCGGTGTCCTAAGATGGTACCTCAAAAGGTGAGTGCAGAAAAGCAAACATACATATAATTGGAAACTTTATATAGAACTGGGCAAGGTTGCTGGTTCTTAGACACTCAAACTACAGTGGCACCTTGACTTATGACTGCCTCTACTTACGAATTTTTCGAGTTATGACGTAAATTTCGTCGGAAAATGTGACTCGACTTAACGACCTTTGCCTCGACACGGAACTTTGTTGATCTTCTCGAGATGATTTCGGGGCTTTTTAGTGTCCCCGCGGCCCAGTCCTCGACCAGGCTTCCACCCCCAGGAAGCAGCCCGTGACAGCTGACTAACACCCAGGTACCTATTTTACTGCTAGGTAACAGGGGCATAGGGTGAAAGAAACTCTGCCCATTGTTTCTCGCCGGCACCTGGGATCGAACCCAGGACCACAGGATCACAAGTCCCGCGTGCTGTCTGCTCGGCCGACCGGCTTCCTTACCGGGAGCTCCCTTTCCCTTTGATGTGCGTATGGGTCGACCGATCTCGTGGTTCCTGGTGGCACGGCCGACCCCTCCTCAGTTTACCAGTGTCGCCCGCTTAGTGACAATCGTGCTTGTAAAGGATTTCATTATTATTATTTTTTTTAACAAAAGTAATTATTATATATCACACCATTGGTCCCAAGAAAGTCAGTGGTAAGGTTCAAGCTAAGAACACACACATGAAGATGACCATAGATAAAAAACAAGAGATCATTTGTAAATGGTACGAGGATTGTTGATGTAGAGTAGAGGATGTCCCTTCCTCATTTATTAAGAAAATGTGTGCAGTATGAGAAGAATTGCAAAGTTTTGCTGAAAAGTGTCACTCAAATCAAGTTGTAACAATCAGTTGAGTTAACCTTTTTAATGACAATGTGATGTCTCACTTCAGACAAGTGTTACAACATTGGGAAAAACAGTGTCACTAGACAGGTTTTTAGTGAGAAAAACAAGTAGTGAGCCACAAGCTTGTCCTAGTGGTATGTAGGCAAAATGTAGGAGTGTGTGCGCCCCAGAAGAGTCATCACTGCCTGATGTTACAATTGAAGGGGATTCCCCTTACAAACACTACACCTCTCCTCCATCCCTCCTCATTGTCTTCCATATGCCAACAAGAGTCCTCAATCAAAGTAAGATATAAATACAGTCCTGTATTGTAGCTAGTAGAAAATAAGTGTTATTCGGTATAAAATGTATTTTTAAGTTAATATTTTTGGGGGTGTGGAACAGATTAATTCAATTAACATTATTTCTTATGGGAAAATTCGTTTTGACTTACGACCCGTCTCTGTGAAGGGATTAAATTCATAAGTCAAGGCCCCACCGTACTTTTAGTTTGATTAGTTTATTAAAAATATTTTAATAATGTTTTGTGGAAAACCTATGATATATATTTTTAATAACAATAATGGGGAACAAATAAACCTTATTTCCCTTGGGAGAAATATGCTGGGAAAGACGGCTGGATAATGCATACTTAAACCAGTGCCTTGAGAGAATAGGCACAGTAGCACTAGAAATATGTGCAAGTCACATACCACTAAAGAGAAAGAGAAAAAGATGCAGATTGGAATGAAAATGTCATTCCCTCTATAAGCAAAGAAAACATTGCAGAACTTCTTAACACTTTGAGGTCGTGATGACATTCGCACAGTCATTAAAACAATGCATGACGTCAACGCCATCAACAATTAATTTTTGCTTATTCTTATTAGTGAGTATGAACAGTATAAAAAGTAGCAGAAATAGCTCCTCTTCACAAGGGAGGGAGCACAGCATTGGCAAAGAATTATGGACCAGTTCCACTAAAGTCCAACATAATTAAAGTATTTGAGAGAGTGATCATGAGTCAGGTCACCAGTTTAGGAGACTGAAGCGAGTATAAACAATATACTCGCTCCAAACTCATTAGCTAAATGAGAGAAGCAAACCTTTCATTAGCACTAATGACATCACTCAAAACATTTCCCTAATTACAGTTAAAATTCCCTCCATCCTCCTAACCTAATGGAGGAGGATGAGATAAGGTGTAGTTCAATTATATAAGCAATCGAGAAGCAAGTAACCATCAGTATAATTTCCACAGTGATTCAGTTAAACTGACGCTTCGGAGTTACCCCACCACTTCACCCTCAAGAATGTAGCACTCGGCATATGCCGTTCTAATCGACCTCAAGACACTCCAACTTCGTCACAGAGCAGACACAGACTGTGACCGTATCGAGCTGCCACGCTCTCAGCCTCATCGAGTTTAGACACTCACCAGCTCATCCAGTTTTGGCACTCGCCATCTCATCAAGTTTTGACACTCACATCTCGCATCAAGCAGCCACGCTCTCCCTCATTGAGGTCCGCGACTCCGGCCTCACTCGGCTCTGCTCTGCTCCAAGTTCTGTCTCAATATCTACAACACTGCCAACAACTGACTGCTATAACCAAGACTACTAAATAAATATAAATATGAAAGCCCACTAAACACTGTGTATCTAATTCGCCCATCAACGTAACATAATCGTACATTACAATTCATTACTGGATTGTGGAGGTCATACCATTGACCTCCACAACCCAGGCCAACATTGATTTAGAGCGGGTAAGACCATGCCTCTCACAGCTACTTGACCACTGTGGGAGCCGGTGGTTGAGCGGACAGCACGCTAGACACGTGATCCTGTGGTCCCGGGTTCGATCCCGGGCGCCGGCGAGACACAATGGGCAGCGTTTCTTTCGCCCTATGCCACTGTTACCTAGCAGTAAATAGGTACCTGAGAGTTAGTCAGCTGTCACAGGCTGCTTCCTTGGGAGTGTGTGTGTGTGTGTGTGTGTGGGGTATGGGGAAAAAAATAGTAGTAGAAACGGTTGATTGGCAGTTGAGAGGCGGGCCGAAAGAGCAGAGCTCAACCCCCGCAAGCACAACTAGGTGAATACAACTACGTGAATACGACAAAATCACTGCAGCATTAGAAGAAAAAAGAATGCAGATGTGGTATACACGAAGTTCACAAAGGCATTCGATAAGTGTGACCATGGAGTGATTGCACAAAAAAATAATGTCACTAGGAATAACAGATAAAGTAAGACAGTGGATATTCAATTTTCTGTTGAACAGAACACACAGAGTAACAGTCAACCAAATAAAATTGAGTTCAAGTGCAATTGAAAGCTCTGAACTGCAGGGTACAATCCTTGCACCACTGCTTTTCCTTATTCTCATATCAGATACAGACAAAAATAAAACATACTTAAAACAGCAGAGATCACACCACTTCACAAAAGAGGTAGTAAAGCTGATGCAAAAAATTAGACCAATTGGTCTAAGAAGTAAGATCACAAAACACATGGTATCACAATGTCTACATTTTCTGGGCAACATGGGTTCCGAACTTGGCATTCCTACCTTTCACAATTTCTAGACCACTATGACAGTTTTAGATGCCATGGATGTAAAACGCTGATGTAATATACAAGTACAGCAGAACCTTGGGTAGCAAACGTCCCTCTTTACAAATTTTTCTGATTATGAGTTCAATTTCTTCAGAAAATTTGAATCACGTTACGACCTTTGCTTCACCTTGTGACTTTGTTGATACATGTATGAGTCGACCGAGCGCATGGTTCTTGAGCGAGGCATGTTTCAGTTTACCAGTGTCTCCCGTGACGATCGCACTTGAATATTGTATTTGGGAGGACAACAGGATGGATGGTTGAAGGACTGGATGGATGATAACTGCTTGATACCTGCTTGACGGAGTTCTGGGAGTTGTTGTTCTCCTCAAGCCTGGCCCGAGGCCACGCTAGACTTGTGAGAGCTTGGTCCAGTAGGCTGTTGCTTAGAGCGTCCCACAGACCCACATATCCACTACAGCCCGGTTGATCCAGCACTCTTGGAGAAAATTATCTAGTTTTCTCTTCAAGATGTCCACAGTTGTTACGGCAATATTTCTTATACTTGCTGGGAGGATGTTGAACAACCGTGGACCTCTGATGTTTAAACAGTGTTCTCCGATTGTGCCTATGGCACCCCTGCTTTTCGCTGGTTCTGTTTTGCATTTTTCTTCCATATCGTTCACTCGAGTATGTTGTTGTTTTACTGTGTAGATTTGGGACCTGGCCCTCCAGTATTTTTCATGTGTGTATTATTTGATATCTCTCATCTTTCTAGTGAGTACATTTGGAGAGCTTTGAGACGATCCCAATAATTTATGTGCTTTATCGCGTCTATGTATACCGTATATGTTCTCTGTATTCGCTCCTGTTACGGCCACTATGGGTAGCAACTGGGTTCTTTGCTGCAGGAACTAAAGTACTAGTATCCGACCCCAGGTTAGTAGTGGCTTTGAAGGAGTGAGCTTGGTAATGCAAGTAAAACACAATGGGGGAGTTGAAAGGAATACGACATTTCATCAATTATCAATATATTCACATATTATCACTTTCCCATCACCTTATATAGAATCATGAACGAAGTATTACTACACTGATATATACACATGCCACTCTCATAGGACACTAAGTGCTCCTCGATGCTCATGCAATGCAGCCTTGTCAACTTTCGTGTTTCCTCAACAACAACGCCTCAGCTCTGGTGCCTTTCATTAGACTCCTACCCAGAGCTTGTATGTAGAAACTGGCATCCTGTCTCTACAGGATCGGTGGGATCGCTACTGTCTTCCCTACTTTGTGCGGTCCTTACAACACCCTCACTTATGCTTATATCGTACTTTGACCATTAACCCTCCTGTGGGTCCTGTTCCCTTTCACCACTTTTCCCTTTCTGTTCAGTTGTCTTGCTTGCTCTGTTTATCAATGTTTCTCTTTGTCATTCCATCTTTTCCCCCATAGAGGGGTCCCTCTTCCTATGTTTTGTAGAACCTTAACCTGCATGACTAAGGCTTTCACTCCTCCTACAGTTCTGAAATGCCTTTTCTTTGCTCACTTTTCTGCACATTCCAACTCCATCTCCGTCTTCACAAATTGGTCAGTCTGCTGGCAGTGTACTCCATTGTGTTTCCTGACTGCACCTGTGTGTGTGTGTGTGTGTGTGTGTGTGTGTGTGTGTGTGTGTGTGTGTGTGTGTGTGTGTGTGTGTGTGTGTGTGTTGCCTGCCACCAAAGACTAGCATCTTTTGGCAGAACTTTTTGCAATTTTGTTCTTTCTTCATCAACTGCTTTCTCGCCGTAATTTTTCCTTTGTTATTGTAGCTGGCTCTCGCAGTGCCCTCATATGGCTCTGGAGTCCTTTAATCCTGTCCAACCTGTGGTTGTCAAAATTCTATATTGGCTGTTTCTTATCTCCAGCAGATTTAAGACAGTTGAGTTTTGCTGGGTTCCCTTCCATTTTGTGTTTCCTTAAATGAGTGTGCAGATGCTGTGGCAAAGGAGGCTATCTGCACTTGTCCCATTTCCTACAAAGGTGTTCCTTATTTCAACATCTTCTCGGTTCTTCATTCCTCGATTTGTGCCTGTTGGCAGGATTGCTGGTCTTCTATCACTGGTAACAAGCTGCATGCTCTTAAAGAGTAGTGTGTTCCCATGGCCTTCCTCCTACCACCAGAACGGGCGGTGGAGATGGCTCTGGCGATGTTACGTATTAGTCATACCTGTTTAACTCATGGGCACTTAATGGAGCTCCACTCTGCTCCTTATTGTCCGAACTGCATTGTCCCTCTTACAATCGCAGATGTAGGGTGATTTTCATCAACTCTGCACATCCATGCTTCTCTAATGCACCACCTGCTGATGGGAATCCTTCGGGGTGCAACCATGCAATCCTTCGTGGGTGCTGTGGGCACTCGTGTAATGTATTCCTTCCCTTACTATACAGGCATACCTCAGAATAAGAGTTTAATCCGTTCCTGGAGACGCCTCGCCTTCCGAAAACTCGCATTCCGAAGTTAATTTCCCCATAAGAAATAAAGGGAAATGAATTAATCCGTTCCTGACTACCCCAAAAACCCCACATCAAACTAAATTTTTATACCTAATTTACCTAATTCATCTAAATAAACCTACAAAACTGTGTTCCAGTTATTACTTACCTTGCTGTCGAGTGCTGTAGGCGTATGGAAGATGGTGAGGAGGGGGGAGGAGGAGAGGAGTTACTGTTTGGAAGGGGAGTCCCCTTCCATAATCACATCACATAACCCCATGCCTTGTAACACTATGGATACCACTTCTCTTTCTAAATTTTTCAAACCAGCCCCTGCTTGCCTTAAACTCTTTCTTATCTGCATCACTCGTTGCAGGGGTATTCTTTAGAAGGTCTTCGTGCAACACCCTGGCTTTCTCACAAATAATGGCCTCCGAAACACTATCACCCCTCAACTCCTTGTCGTGTATCCAAATTAATAACAACTTTTCCACTTCTTCAAGTATTTGTGGTCTTTGTGCCGTTAATGTTCTTACTCCTTTTGCCACTTTAGCACCCATAATCTTATTTTTCTTCCTAAGTATAGTGCATATTGTTGATGTGGCTTTGTTGTACTGCCTACAAAGTTCAACAACACGTGTACCGTTCTCATGCTTCCGAATGATCTCTTGTTTCTCCTCTATTGTCATCCTCACAGGAGCTTTCTGGCCTTTATCCTTACCACTGGCTTTCTTGGGACCCATGGTGAGATATATAATAACAAATTGTATAGACAAATCACCAAAAATCCAACAAAACACTGAAAATCCGCGAGAAGAATTGATGTGGGGGTAGTCACTGAGCGCCAGACAATAATAAACTGAGGGGCGGCGGGGCGGAGGGGCGACGAACGCGCTAGGTCGGCTGTACGCGTATCAACAAACTCGCGTCCAAACTCGCCTCCCGAAGTAACCCTCGCCTTCTGAGACAAATTTTTGGAGTAAATACACCTCGCCTTCCGAAAACCTCGCATACAGGGACAATCGCATTCCGAGGTACCACTGTATAGACTTTTTGGCCTATTTGTCCATCTCTGTTGCACCTTCTGATCTGGCACCGACACTTGTCTGTTACACTTCTTTCCCCAGGCCCGAGGGTTACCTTGCCATCCGTCAAGTATCTTTATTTACAGAATACTGTTCACTGATACACTAATTTTATTTTGTATGTACCAAACTAATTCTCTTAACCCTTAACATGCTAGGGGTATAATATCCTTTCTTCCCCACAGGCGCATGTAATTTTGAAAGAAAAAAAAATATTTTTTCGTCCTAACCTGTTAATCTGTGTTCACTGATCACGGAAAAAATAATAAAAAAAATCGTAAGTGGCATATATTGCCCACTATAGGGCGGGGAAGTCTGCCAAAAAACAGGCGCTGACTCAGCGTGCGTCCCAGGCGGTCTGTTGCTCACCAGCTGTCAGGCCAGAGTTGCCACAAAGAGATAATTACCTAATTATTTCAATGTCTCTGATTGATTTTTCATAGTTTTTTTGCTGTAATATTATTCAATAGTGTGTAGTTTGATATATTTATATAATAAAATGAGTGAATCATTGCTGTACTCAAAAATATGGTGTGCATATTGTTGATTCAATTATGTTCATCAACCAGTGAACAAATACTTTGTCGGTTATTACACTGTAAGCACAGGTTATATATAAGTATCTGCATGTTTTGTTCACTATTAACGAACCACTAAGTAGCTATTATGAGTCAAAAAGTAACGAGGAGTGACCGCCGTGTACCAGCCAGCCACTCCCGCCCTCCCTCAAGTCATCTGACTCACCCACATTCTCCTCCCACAATACTGTTTTTGCTATAATTCACTATATACAGACGTTATATATAAGTATCTACATGTTTTGTTCAACATAACTGTACATCTAAGCTTGTATGGTGAGTAAAGGCACAAAGACGTAGGACCTCACACAGTGAGCTGATGGCTGCCGCCCTCAAGGCCAGACGCACTAATATTTCTCCTCCAACAATACTGTGTGGTGTTATTACGCTATATACACACATTATATATAAATATCTACCTGTTTTATTCACCATACTTGTACAAATAAACTGGTATGGTGCCCAAAGACCATCGTGGTAACCAGTAAACAACACCGTCATCTGCACGGTGGCGTCGTGCAGACAACGCCACCGCCCTCACCAAAATGGCGGCTCCCAACCTTCTCTTGCTGCTTATACCCTCTATACACACGTTATATATAAGTATCTACATTTGTGTTCACCATAGAGAACCAATAAGCTGGTATGGTGAGTGCAGTCAATAAAATGTGGCCACACACAGCCAGACGGCATCACCACCTCCCTCCCTCCCACAGCATTACTCCTCCCTCCATGGCTCACAGCGCTAAATATCACCACAATCTTGCTATTATCAGAACCCTGGTCAGTTTTATCACAGTCAGGGGTCTTCTTTAATAATATCATCGTTACATAATAGCATGAACAAGTATATATTGGCATTTTTAGGCGATGCTGTGGTCACAAGCTGAACAGCAGTGCTGTTAGCTCATGCTGCGTGCGTCAGGCTTGGTTGCTCACTCAATACTGAGGCCAATAACACCCGGGAGTTTGGCCCACGATTTTTTTTTTAAATGGCGTCTGTTTACAAGAGCCCTGATAAAGGTGTGGTGAACCCCGTGTATCCGCGGACCGTTTAAATCTTGCGTAGTACTCCAACACGTCATATGACGTGATGCGCAGTTGACTGGAACAACGTCCAACACGTCATATGACGTGATACGCACTTTAAGGGTTAAGGCAGTTTGAAAATCGTGTTTTGAATTTTGTACTTTCATACATATTGTACGGTATTGGTCTAATAACCTCAGTAGTCCATAGTAAATAATCATATGTTTGTTTTTCAGGTTGGCTTGGTATTGCAATAATGCAAGGGAGGCTTAAGTTTCTTGCATATTTTAACTCTGGTAATTACAGAAGAACTCTGTAAAATTGCATTGGTTGCTGTTTAGAAGAGTAATTCGTTTGAGCACAGAAGTTGTCCCAAGCTTCTCTGCAGTAAATACACTAGCTATCATATGCTGTAGCTAATTACAGTGAAAATGAAATAACTACCAAGATGGAATTAGGATAAAGTATGGTAATTTATATTAAGTTCTTCCTTGCAGTATTTTCCTTTCAATATAATGGAAAGTGATGGCTAATAATGTGGACTTGAATGTTACAATTGCATTGTGGTATATAAATCTTTACAACAATTCAGTTACCAGTAACTGAATTGTTGTGAGAGGTCTCCAAATGGTCAGCTATTTTGTTCAATAAAATGTAATACAATATATATATATTACTGATTAGAGAAAGGACTAAAATTATCTGGTGATAAATGAAAGTTCATTGTTGCAAGGAGGTTTGTTTATGTACAAGTATTGCGTGACTGAAGCAACAGCCAACAAGCTTTCCTTTACATTTTAATAGAGCTGTCTTACTGTAGGAAACACTGCATGGCCTTTTTTTTTTTAAAGATTGTAATTTATTTTTGTTCTGGCTCTTAAGAAGTGTATAATTGTGGGTGCATTAATTATTTTATCTGCTTAGGTTCTCATTGTCATTGGTTATGACACCACCTGTATATTACCGACTCCAATTGATGTCAAAAACTGCATAATCCTCAGGTGATTTATGAATTAGTCCCAGTGTGAGAGATGCTTTGTAAGCCTCTTCAGTATTTCTGAAGACACTCTTTTTCTGTGATATCAGTTGCTTGAACTTAGGCAGTATGCATAGGTTTGTCAGTGTGCCTACACAACTATAAGTAATTACCAATTCTTTTATCATGAGCTTGTGCTTAAAATAGGGAAGAAAATTATATGGGTAAGTGAAAGCTGTTGTGCATTCATGACACTAAACATGACCAAATTCTTAGTGCTTTTACACTTGTCAAATACTTCAGCTACCCAGTAAGTCATTTAGATTATAATTTTTAGGTAATCTAGCAGCAATTATAATGTTAATTACATTTGTAGATCGATGTAATATTACAAAGATGATAGTTATAATTCATATGTAGTGTTATTAATAGTGAATCAATTAAATACTTTGCCAAGAGTGTATTCATACAATCATCTCCAGTTGTAAATATGTAAACATGCATTTACTTCTAGAATTCCTGAGAGCAAGTTATGGATACTGTAGATAATTAAGACCTGAGTGTCTAATTCACCTTCACAACACCATGAACACTGGTGGTTTAATTGGAAGCAATGGCAAAATTATAATGCTCTTATTGAAAGCAAAAGTATTAAAATTCAAGTTAGAATGTATTGAAATGTCCCCCAAGCACTACTGATTATGTGTCTAATTAAGTCACAATTGCTTTTAAACTTAAAAATATTCAGTGTTTTTAGAGGCAAATTGTTTATTTACTTAAAAGTATGCCAAAGTCATCCACCAATACCATAGTATTATGGGGTATTTGTTAATAGTGCTCTTAAATAACCATTTGTAATTCATTTGTTATCCAGTATGTTAGTAAAGAATTGTTTAAGTGAATTCTCAGTCTATAGCTCAAGTGTTACCTTCACTTATAATGTTATAAAGTGGATCTTTTTTTCTAGACTAGTTAAGACTGTAACTGGATGTGGAGATGCAGTATCAGGTATACAATTAAAGAATAATACATAGTTTAAAGGGTGGTTCATATCATTTGTAGTCACATGAGTGGGAGTCATTACTGTTAGTATTTCAAGTCAATAGTAGGTGTCATTGTCAGCTCAATCAGTGGGGGCTGTTATTGTGTGCACGATCGGTGAGCGGTGTCATTATTAGTAAACTAAGTGGGAGTGAGAACATGATGTTTGAGAAGGTGGGTGATTGAACTAGTCATAAGCATATAATTTTTATCATGCTAATGATTAATGCAATAGACAACAATGTACTTGGTAAACTGCATATTTTTCAACATGCAAGGTTTTTCTCCCCTCAGTGTTATTTCAGAAGCTTAAATAAAGGTTACCCATATTATTTTTAAATATGTATATATTTATTTTTATTTGTAATTAAGTTCAATACAGTTGTGCCACTAGTATTTGTGAAGGAAGAGCCTTGATTGTAAGTGCATCAGTGAGGTTCAGTTCATGTTCTTTTGAATACCTTTGTTGTTACAGCTAAAAGATGTCTTACTGAATTCAGTATAAATAGTTTTTTTTTTACGGTTAACTTGTCAAAAACATTTTACTGCTACATATTTTTAATTAAATTCCTCTGAATAAGAATGTTTTAAGAGAGATCTGTTATACATATTAAATTAATTTCACCAAAGTGATTTAGTATAACAGCTAACCTTTCCTAAATTAAAAAAAAAAAAAAGTTTTTTCAGATGCAAAACATGAATATTATGCCTATGGGTTTTACAAGTACAGTTGGCGTAAATTTGTATAAAGTGGAGAAAATGTTTTACAAGTATGTTTAAGGTAGAGATCGTTTGCTGTTAATCCCTTTGCTACACTGATTTAACTGTCATCATAAACCTTTCTTCACCAACAAAGCTGTATTAGATGTCTCAAGGGTGAACTATTTTGAGAAACTATTATTTTTAACCATTTTGAGGAAAGCTATTTTCTACAAAGCCCTAAATGTCATCAGTTGCAAGTAATGTAGAGTACATATCATTCATAAACGGGTAACAACCACTGTTCATAGTTAATTTATGCCCTTTGTTTTGAGGATGGCTTGCTCACAAAATCACTGACATCACTGCCCTCCATTGTCTAAAATGTAATGAAAAGTTAATTTTTTTACCATGTGACTTAAATGTCCCTATTCTGTTTACATTCAAACACACACATGACTCTAGGCTCAAGTGATGCACTGAAATATTCCAGGATGTAACTCAGTGCATCAAAAGTGTAAATCTTTGATGCTGTAAAACAGTAAAGGAAATATTTTGAAACTGGTGACAGTTGTTGACTGTCTTGGCTAAAGAGTTCAACTACAGTACTACAGACAGTGAAATGCTACACAATTTTACTCAACTTCCTTCAGATGGTTGTTGAGGTATTCCCTGATATCAGTGTTAATACTTCATTGTTGCTGCATTATTCCCTATTCTGTGCTGGTCATTCACTTAGTGCAATTAATTATTGTAGTTGTAGAACTAATTATCATTAGTGACGGCATATTATGCTTGATACTTGTGACCACTGCACCAACGTGTTGCCAACTATAATTTGTTATTACTGTATAGCCTGGGCTTGCCCAAGCAAGTTCTACCAGTGGGGTTAATTAATGAGGTAACCTATATTAATGCTTGTCTACCTTGTCTTGTTTATTTTTATTTACTAAATACATGATCTCGTTGATGCAATCTTCATTTTTTGCATTCTTTTTTTTCGCATTGCTATCAAATAGCTGTTTTACTTGTTCTTAATCATAACCAAATATTGCAGCTGGCTTTTCTGGGTAAGATTTTATATGAGGTTGTGCAGTCATGAAGCAGGTTGACAGGTTAGAGAGAACAAGGGACAAGTTGTGTAAATTAAACTTGTGAACAAGGTAGTGAAGGCAAGGGTATGCCCCTGCACGGATTGGATGGTAATATTGGAAGACAATCAGTATTTTGGACCGGGAGAGTGGAACAATA